GTGTTGGTGGTGGGTGGTGGTGGTGATAGTGTTTTTGTTGTTGTCTGTTGTTGCTGTATTATTGTTATTCTTGTTGTTGTTATAGTTATTGACTATTATTAAAACTGTTGTCTCTATTGCTGTTAAAAAAATCACTATTATTGTTGTTATCATTATTATCATTATTATAACAACCTATTAGCGATCACCATTTACGTTATTACGGTTATTATTATAATTATCATTAAGGGGTAGGGGGCTACTCACAAAGAGTCCCAATTGGACTGAAAATTATGGATTTTGAGTTAGACCTCTACATCATCCTATCGATATCATTATCGTTATCAAGATCGTTATTATTGATATACACTGTATCACTTAATGTGTACATTTCTGGCTTGAGCGATAAAAGCATTATACACATTGACACAAAAAAAGCTTTCTTTTATATTTGGTTAATTATTTCTTAAAGGAAATCTCCTCTAAATGTGTGCATTCTAATATTCTATCTCACATATATATTCTATAGGGTTTTATTTATTGGAAGAATTTGAACACTTTGCCATCAAACAGTTGTGTGGAAAAAGGTTACGAGAGTCCACCACGGACTCTAACAGGACTAAAATGTCATTATAATCTTTTTTAATTGCATGCCTAAAAAACACAAGTTGGCATATTCTTTAAGTATCGCTCAAAGGCCGCTATTTGTTCGCTTTTCTTTAAATCCACCGCTGAAAAAAAAATCAATTGTGTCGATGATGGCATACAGCACATCGGTATTTCCTGAATATATACGCCCGCCCCCCTTCCCCCACCCCCCTAGGGGGAGGGGAGTGAGAGGAAAAAATGAAAGAAAGAAAGAAACAGTAAAAGTCCCCCCCCCCAAAAAAAAAGGTAAAAAATGTTTTTAAAATGTAAAATATAACAAATATTAATCAAAGATTATTTGTTTCGTTAATATAGAATTTTTAAAATGTGTACTTTTTAAAACTTAAGATTTTAAAAGAGCAAAAAAAACAAAAACAAACTACAAACAACACAACTACGAATGCACAAATAGTTTCTCTCACTCCGTCTCCTTCCCGCCAACCCCTCCCCCCTTAAGGATGCCACTGGACGTTTGAGGTGCTGCTCATGATCCTACAGGGCGAGGCAAAGCTGTCAGAGAGGAACAAACTACAAACTTATGTAGACGTTGTTAACCCCACAATGCTGAGCACTTTACCCTCCCCGCGAGTTCTTAACTCTCATCTACTCTTCCAGGACATGCCCAAGCAGGTGAGGTTGTGTGTGTGTGTGTGTGTGTGTGTGTGTGTGTGTGTGTACGTATGTGTGTGAGTGTGTTTGTGCATGTTTGTGCGTGTGTGT